GGCATGGGCCCCCCAGAGACTTCTGTGCTCACAGAGTATGGGGCTGTAGCCAGGCTGGATCAGCTCTGGGCAGGAGCTGCTAGGCACCCAGTGGGCAGGACTGTCACAATGCCATGGCCTCCAAGGTGAGGCACTCCCTGCCCACCTGGCAGCAGTGGGGGGCACAGAAGAACCACATCTTGGCAGCCATGGCAGTGTGGCGCTCCCTCCCATACCAGGTCCTGCCCACAGCTGGTCCTGTCTGGCTGCAGCCCCACACCCCACTGTGGGCACAGAAATCTTAAGCACATGCCCCCCACTCCGCAACATGTCCCCTGGGCCCACAGCTCCACAATGCATCCCCTGGGCTCCCTCCCCTCCTCACCTGCATAGAGTTGCCCAGAGGAAACTGGTCTCCACTGCTGCTTGGCCACCACATACATGTGCACATACACACACGGCACCCTCTCCTTCCCCTGCTCCCTGCAACCCAAAGGAGTTCCTTGCAGGCTGGAACTCTGCCATCCTGCAAGGTGAACCCACCGTTTCCCGTGGTTTTTCCTGTTACAAAAAGAAGACATGTGTTTTCCCCCATAAAAAGAGAAAATCTAGATCCCCAATTATCATGCATAGTTTGTCCTCTATGCAGAGGTGCTTCTTAAAGGTAGTACCTGTACTAAAACCTGCACCAGTTTGAAAAGAAAAATAAAATACATTAGTTCATCTGTCAGTGTTTTAAAATTTTTCATTTGTCTTCTTGTGCTCAGGGGGACCTGAGACTGACAGTATGGTTGAAGGGGCGAAGGACAAGGGGCTACCTAGCCACCACCCAGATTTATTGTCCCTGCTGTAGGAGTGGGAAAGAGACAATTTCAAGGCAAATCCCCAACAACAGATCCTATACCTGGAAAAAAAAATTATAAAATTTCCATTTACAGAATCTAATTGTTGGGGGGGGGGGATTGTCTTATAATCAGGGTTATACCATATTTACTTGAATATGAAACATTCATTGCCTTGCTTTAAGAGGCATACAAAAGACAACTAAAAGTCAATGAGAAATAAAGGCATCCTTATAATTAAAACAATGAAAGTCCTCCAACAGAAAAGCTGACAAAAATTTGATACGTTACTATATAAATTCAAGAAGTTCTTACCCAATTCCCAAGTTTTCAAGATGAGATTTAGTGAGGTAAGGCAGCAATGACCCAGTGATTTGATTTTCTAAGGAGTTAAAGAACAATAATTATTTCTTGGCTTTTGGACAGACATTTAAACTTTGAGAATATATTATAATTAGAACATTTAAGTGTTGCTCCTTTCAGCATTTAAATTAGCAACATAATCCCATCCTCCCAACAAGTCCAGATTCCACAAATGAGCCACAAAGTGAAATCTGAGATCATCACATTTGAAACTCAGGTGCCTCCACCTTCATTATTAAACTCTCTCCTCTTGAGGAAAACATCATATTCAAATGCACTAAGATGCACAGTTAGCCTTCAGTCAATCAAAGTCTCAACACAAAACTGCCAGGTGAGGTCCAAATGTAAGATTTTAGTGAAGCTATTTCCTAATCATAATCTAGGTATTTTTCTAAATGACTATCCTGTTTAATGCAATTTTATCATTTTTACATATTAAATATTCTATCAAATTTTATTTCAACAAAAATGTTTTTCAAAATATCTTGTACATATGCTTAATGTTTTAAATACACCTAGCTTTAAAACAAGATTATTTTTAAAGATGATCTTGAGTTTGTATCACATGTAAACATACACACTCCAGCAAAATACTGTTGAACTGAAATTGGGCAAATGTTTAATCTAAAAAATTCTCATTGGGAAACCACAAAAGGCTGAAAATATTCTGCATTTTAGTATTTGAGCCCCAAGCAATCCTGTGGCATCCACATTTAGAACAAAAATTCAGAATTGGTACAACCAACAGTGAGTTTTAGCCCAGAACACACAAAAATTATAGCAGACCAGGGATTGATGAGGCTGAAATTGGTTGTTTATTCCCAGTTTCGTATTCAAAACTAATCTAGACCCAATAAAAGCTTGTAATTAATGAATTACACATCCCAAAGAGAGAGAATTACACATCATAAACAGAGAGAATTTCATTAGCTATACAGATGTACTAATTAATATGTAAAATAATATCCCACATCAAGTACAGAGCCCTGAGTGAAGGTCAGATTAGGATGGGATTAAGGGGCAAAATACTTCTTGGGCCACTGCAAACTTCCTATTGATGCCACTGGGGCATCAAAGAACTCTAACCACAGTCCTGCCCAGCCCAGAGGACCAGGTTGCCAACTGACAGCCCCCATGCCCACTGTACTAAGTATAATGGATCAAATAAAGAACGGGCTTTTGGTCTGGGATTATGGCTAGAAGTCCTGTTTGGGCCATTCCACAGCATACCTCTGTAGAACTCTCCTGAAGACTGCTGACCAGTCTTGCCCTGTCCAGAGCACAGTTTGTTCATGCCAGGCTGCTAACTGGCAGCCCCCCATGCCTATTGTACTAAGTATAATGGCTTGAATAAGGAACTGGCTTTTGGGATGAGATTATGATTGGAAATTCTTTTTCGGCTTCTCCGCACTATGTCTTTGTGGCACTGGAGGACTCTTCTGGACATCTCTGGACAGGGTCTTCCCCAGCCCAAAGTGCAGTTTGTGCATGCCAGGCTGCCAACTGACAGTCCCCCCATACTCACTGTACTAAGTATATGGGTTCAAATAAGGAACAAGTCTTGGCTGGGTTTATGGTTGGGAATCTTTTTTGGGCCACCCCACACCATGACTCTGTACCACCAGGGGACTCTCCCAGACATCTGTAGCCAGAGACTTGCCTGGCCCAAGGCACAGTTCGACCATGCCAGGCTGACAGCACCCCAGCCACTATGCTAAGTATATAGACCCAAATGAGGAATTGGATTTTGGGCTGGGATTATAGCTAGAAATAATTCTTGGGCCACCCCATGCCATCGAGGGACTCTCCTGGACATCTCTGACCGGAGTCTTGCCTGACCTAAAGTGCAGCTTGGCCATGCCAGGCTGCCAGCTGAGGGCCTCTCCGTGCCCACTGTACTAAGCATATAGCCTTGAATAAGGAATTGGCATTTGGGCTGAGATAACAGATTGAAATGCTTTCTGGGCCACTTGACACCATGCCTGTGTGTCACCAGGGAACTTCCCTGGACATTTCTGACCAGTGTCTTACCTGGCCCAAAACGCATTTATGCCGTGCCAAGGTGCCAACTGACAGCCCCCCAGTCACTGTTCTAAGTATAAAGGCTCGAACTAGGAACTGGTTTTGGGATGGGATTATGGCTGCAAATCCTGCTTGGGCCACGCCACACTATGACTCTGTAGCACCAGAGAACACTCCCAGACATCTCTGACCACGGTCTTACCTGGCCCAAAGCACAGTTTGTTCGTGCCAGGCATCCATCTGACAGCCTCCCCCATCCCACCCCCTGATACTGTACTAAGTATATGAGCTTGGATAAGGAATTGCCTTTTGGGCTAGGATTACGGCTGGAAATCCATTTTGTGCCACTCCACAACATGACTCTGTGGCACCAAGAAACTCCTGCACGTACCTGACTAGAGTCTTGCCTGGCCCAAAACGCAGTTTCGTTGTGCCAGACTGCCAGCTGACAGCCCCACAAACCACTGTACTAAGTATAACGGCTTGAATAAGGAACTGTTCTTCGACTGGGATTAGAGATGGAAGTGCTTGTTGGGCCACCCCACACCATGACTCTGTCCACGGGAGTCCCCTGGTGCCACATTCTTGACCAGAGTCTTGCCCAACCCAAAACACGACTAAGCCGTGCCAGGCCACCAACTGACAGCCCCCCATGCCCACTGTATTTTGAAGTGCAAGATGCTGAATACATGTGACACTGAAGGTGCTTTTATTAAAGTCTCTCTCAGAGCCATTCTATTTAAACGATCCTTCTTCCCACTTGGGAACATGTGTATAGAGGCCCTTAGGGAATTTTAAACAGCTTTGCACATTTACCTCCAGCTGCCACCCAGAAACTTGGTAATTTAACTGAAAACTGGGTGTTGTAATTTAAAGCAACCTGCTTACTCACTAGCCAATGTTAAATTAAAACAAGTTTATTACAAGGGAAAAGTTTATTACAGGGGTACTCCCTAAGCAAAACCTTAACTATTAACCTTTAACTGTAGCTCAAAATGGATCACAGTCACAATCAGTGGCAAACCAACCTGGGGAGCTCCCACCTGGCCAAGTCACTGGGGAAGGGAGTCTTACCCACAGCTGCCATCCAGGGACTCTACCACCTGCAGTTCAAAAAAAAAAAAAGGCCTTATTCAAGCCTGTATACTTAATGCAGTGGGCATGGAGGGCTGCCAGTTAACAGCCTGGCACAAAGAAACCACGCTCTGGGCCAGGGAAGACTCTGATTAGTGGTTTCCATGAGAGTTCTCTGATGCCACGGAGGCATGGTGTGGGGTGGCCCAAGAAGGATTTCCATCTCTAATCCTAGCCCAAAAGAAATTCCTTGAGTCCATATACTTTGTACAGTGGGCGTGGGGGGACTCATTCAGCTGGCAGCCTGGCTAGGCCTAACTGCACTTTGGGCCAGGCAAGACTAAGGTCAGAGATATTCAGGAGAGTCACCCAGTGCCACAGAGGCATGGTGTGGAGTGGTCCAAACAGGATTTCCAGACATAATCCGAGCCCAAGAACCAGTTCCTTATTTGAGCCATTGTACTTGGTACAGTGAGCATAGGGGGCTGTCAGTTGGCAGGCTGGCACAAAGAAACTGCATTTTAGGTCAGGCAAGACTCTAGTCAGGTATGTGCAGGAGAATTCTTTGGTGCCACAGACTCATGGTGTGTGGTGACACAAAATGGATTTCCAGCCATAATCCTAGCCCAAAAGGCAATTCCTTATCCAAGCTCATATACTCAGTACAGTGTCCGAGGGGAGGCTCCTGTCAGATGGACACCTGGCATGAACAAACCGTGCTTTGGGCCAGGTAAGACCATGGTCAGAGATGTCTGAGAGTGTCCTCTGGTGCTACAGAGCCATAGTGTTGGGTGGCCCAAGCAGGATTTGCAGCCATAATCCTATCCCAAAACCAGTTCCTAGTTCGAGTCTTTATACTTAGAACAGTGACTGGGGGCCTGTCAATTGGCACTGCCAAAATGCACTTTGGGCAGGGCAAGAACCTGGCCAGAAATGTTCAGGAGAGTCCCCTGGTGGTACAGAGGCATGGTGTGGAGTGGCCTAAAAAATAGTTCCAACCATAAATCCAGCCAAAACCAGTTCCTTATTCAAGCCGTTATACTTAGTACAGTGGGCATGGGGTGGCTGTCAGTTGGCAGCCTGGCATGGCTGGGTTTATGGCTAGAATGTCAGGAATGTCCAGGAAAGTCCCCCGGTGGCACTGAAGTATTCCATGGGGTGTCCCAAGAAGGATTTCTAGCCATAATCGCAGCCCGAAAGCCAATTCCTTATCAGGTCTACATACTTAGCACAGTGGCTGGGGTACTGTCAGTTAGCAGCCTGGCACAGCCACACTGCATTTTGGGCCAGGCAAGATTCTAGTCAGAGATGTCCAGGAGAGTCCCCCAGTGCCACAAATTCATGGCATCAGGTGGCCCAGAAAGGATTTCAATATGTAGTCTCAGCCCAAATGCCAGTTCCTTATTCAAGAATATGCTGGGTTTTTGGTTGTAGCTGCAGTGGTCTAAGGACATAAGCAGGCAAGGTTCTTTGAGTAGATGTGATATCTTTTATTAGACCAAGGGCCATCCCTAGGGGGTGCGAATTGGGGCATCCACCCCAGGACCCATGCTCTGGGGGGCCCTGCAGACAGTGCTGTATAGGCCTTGCCACGGCTGCCGCCTCTGTGCTCAGGCCACTCACCACCCCTCCACTGCATTCTGGCTGCTCACCACCTCCCAGTCCTGTATGGGCCGATACGCCCCAGGCCTCGCACACCCCTAGGGATGGCTCTGATTAGACCAACTGAGTAAACTACTCAGTTGGTCTAATAAAAGGTACTACATCTACTCAAAGAACCTTGCCTGCCTTATTGAAGCATATACACTTGGTACAGTGGGAATGGGGAGCTGTCAGTTGACAGCCTGGCACGGCCAGGCCGTGCTTTGCATCAGGCAAGACGTGCTTTGCGTCAGGCCAGTCAGAGATGTCCAAGACAGTCCCTTGGTACCACACAGATATGCCAAGGGATGGCCCAAGAATGATATCTAGCTATAATCCCAGCCCAAAATCCAATTCCTCATTTGGGTCCATATACATAGCAGTGGCTGGGGTCCTGTCGGTTGGCAGTCTGGCACAGCCTAACTGCACTTTGGGCCAGGCAAGTCTCTGGCCGCAGATGTCCAAGAGAGTCCCCTGGTGGTACAGAGTCATGGTGTGGGGTGGCCCAAAAAGAATTTCCAACCATAAACCCAGCCAAGACTTGTTCCTTATCTGAGCCTATATACTTAGTACAGAGGGCATGGGGGGACTGTCAAGTGGCAGCCTGGCATGCACAAACCGCACTTTGGGCTGGGCAAGATCCTGTCCAGAGATGTCCAGGAGAGTCCTCCAGTGCTACAGAGACATAGTGCGGGGCAGCCCCAAAAGAATTTCCAATCATAATCTCAACCCAAAAGCCAGTTCCTTATTCAAGCCATTATATTTAGTACAGTAGGCATGGGGGGCTGCCAGTTAGCAGCCTGGCATGAACAAACTGTGCTCTGGACAGGGCAAGACTGGTCATGTGTGTCCAAAAGAGCCTCTTGGTGCCACAGAGGTATGCTGTGGGATGACCCAAACAGGACTTCTAGCCATAATCCCAACCCAAAAAACAGTTCCTTATTTCAAGCCATTATACTTAGTACAGTGGGCATGGGGGCTGTCAGTTGGCAACCTGGTCCTTTGGGCTGGGCAGGACTGTGGTCAGAGTTCTTCGGGACAGTCCCCCAGTGGCATCAATAGGAAGTTTGCAGTGGCCCAAGAAGTATTTTGCCCCTTAATCCTATCCTAATCTGACCTTCATTTAGAGCTCTGTACTTGATGTGGGATATTATTTTACAAATTAATTAGTAAATATGCATAGCTAACGAAATTCTCTCTCTTTAGGAGGTGTAATTCATTAATAAAAAGCTTTTACTGGGTCTAGATTAGCTTTGAAAAAGGAACCAGGAACAAGGAACTGGGAATAACCAATCAAATTCATCCTCATAGGTCCTGAGGTCAATGGTAAAAATGCCTGATCTGAACCAGAAGTACACACCATGAACACTACAAACTTAGTTCAAATTATGTAAAATTATGGAGCAGGGGCAAGAAGTGGAAGCCAGAGGAGGGAAGAGGGAGCTCAAAGACCCTGGCTCCAGCAGCAGCCAATGCAAGGGTGGGGAGCAGCAGCTGGGTAGCTCAAGGGCTACAAATTAACCCTCTGGAGGCTGTATGCAGTGCAAGAGCCACCAGTTTAACTGAAGGAGGAGAGAAACTTTTTCCTTCCAAAGTGAAGTGAAAAACAAACATATCAAACCATCAAAACATACTGACCATCTACGTATATAGCACATTACTTGTGGTGCAAGCAATTTGAAGGAGAGAAGGTAACAGTCCTGCAGACCTGGAATACCTATCACACAGGATACCTATTCATAGTTTCATAGTTTCTAGGGTCGGAAGGGACCCGAGTAGATCATCTAGTCCAACCCCCTGCCATGGCAGAAAAGATTACTGGGGTCAAACGACCCCAGCAAGGTGTTCATCTAACCTCCTCTTAAAGACCCCCAGG